CCCCCCCCAGCTCCCCTTACCTGATGTCTTGAACCTCCTCTCGGCTCCAGGGACCAAATGCGGCCCCAGCAGCAGCACCAACAGCGTCTCCAGCAGGATCAAGCCGGGCCCCATGGCTGGCCCCCGGAGAAAACCCACGTCCAGCCCCGGTGGAAACTTTGACAGCTCACTGCGGGGCGCGGGGGGGGAGAGAGACTTTTGCCTCTTAAGTCCCGAGGAGTGGGCGGGGCCTGAGCCCAAAGGAGTACCAATGAGAATTCCCCCTGAGGCAGCAGCATCAGTCTCCGGGCAGGACCGCCGGCAACTGCTCTCCTTCGGGAAGATGTTTTTTCAGGGAGAGTGTTAAAGTGAGTGTGCTGCGCGCATCCAGGGGGTACGCCGAAGAGCCCCGTTTCCTCCTCCTACCCCCATTCTTTCCCCTAGGCAGTCAGCGCCAAACCCCACTCTTCGCTCGGGGGCGGGGGGGCACAAGCAGTTTGATCTGTTTGTGACTGCGATCAGTCCTATTCAACAGCCTTGGGACCAGTGTTCCCTCTAAGTGGAGTTGGTGTGAGCCAGCTCACAGGTTTTTTAGCCTCCGGCTCACCCGTTTTTGTCTTCACTCAGGGAGGAGGGCTCCAGAGCAAACTGATTTATGCAGCAGCCAAATCGCAACTTTCACTCCAGGGGCTCACAAAGTGGGATTTTTGCTCACAAGACTCCACGGCTTAGAGGGAACATTGCTTGGTGCCCCTTTCTGTTTAGCTGATGGGGAGCAAACAAACCTCTATACCCCACTTTTCTCCCATCTTTAAAAAGGGTTCAAGAGGAGATCTGGGAAATTACAGGCCAGTCAGTCTGACCTCGATACCGGGTAAAGTGGTGGAAACCATTATTAAGGAAAGAATTAGTAGGCACATAGATAAACAAAACCTATTGAGGCAGACTCAGCATGGGTTCTGTAAGGGAAGATCTTGTCTCACTAACCTGTTAGTGTTCTTTGAGGGGGTGAACAAACATGTGGACAAGGGGGATCCAATAGATATTGTTTACCTTGACTTCCAGAAAGCTTTTGATAAAGTTCCCATCAAAGGCTCCTAAGTAAGCTCAAAAATTATGGGATAGAAGGACAAGTCCTTTTATGGATCAAAAACTGGTGAATTAATAGAAAACAGAGAGTATAAATGGGCAATTTTCTCAGTGGAGGGTGGTAAGCAGTGGGGTACTGCAGGGATCAGTACTTGGTCCACTGCTTTTTAACTTGTTCATTAATGATTTGGAGTGGGGAGTAAGCAGTGACATGACTAAATTTGCACTCCACAGGGATCTGTCAAGGATGGGCAAGTGGGCATCAACATGGCAAATGGGGTTCAATGTGGCCAAGTGCAAGGTGATGCACATTGGAGCCAAAAATCCTTAATATAAATACACATTGATGGGGTCTGAACTGGCAGAGACTGATCAAGAGAGAGATCTCGGGGGACGGCAGAAGACAGGAAGGCCTGGCGGGAGCTGGTCCATGGGGTCGCGAAGAGTCGGACTCGACTGTGCGACTGAACAACAACAACTTAACCACTACACCAAACTGGCTCTCACCAAACTGTATCAGTACTACAGACCTCCACTCGAAAGAAGAAAACATGGTGGAGACCCACGGGAGCCAGAGAAGGAAATAACCGTAGAAAAATATAAAGTATTATTTTTATACATAGGAAAGCACCAAGAAAATGGTCAGCCCTACCTTACAAGCATGTCACATCAGCTATACAGCAAAGCTCTATTAGCATTGATTCATTCATGGTATTTAGACAGAAACTCAGGCCCATAGGCATAAATTCCACTATAGTTTTATGTATTTTCATGTTCTGCGTTCTGTTTATATTGCAAGTTGCCTTGAGTTCTGGAAGGCAGTGAAAACATCCTGTTTTAAATAAACAGACAAATCCACAAACAAACAACCTGCTTTGGGGTCTCTCACTGAGAAGACAGGTGAGGTGCAAGGGAGTCAGAGACGGTGGAGGAGTCCTTGCCGGGCAGGCAGAAGGTCCCCCGGGCTCTGTCCTTGGTGCTGCTAGACTGGGGAAAGACCCTGTGGAGCCCCAGCCAGCAAAAACTGCTGCTGGCCAGACCAGGTTTGGGCCCGCTTTCTCCCCCCCCCCCCCCCCCCCCCCTTCCCCCCGGCCCCGGGGGAGGGCGAGCCAAGCACCTTCTGGGTTCCAACGCTCCCTCTAAGCTGTGAAGTCTTGTGAGCAAAAATTCTGCCTTGTGAGCTGCTGCTGCTGGCATTAAAGGTTGTGAGCCGAGCGATTTGGCTGCTGCATCAATCAGTTTGCTCTGGAGCCCTCCTTCCTGAGCGAAGACAAAAATGTGTGAGCCAGCGGCTAAAAAAACGTAAGCTGGCTCACAATCACTCAGCTTAGAGGGAACACTGGCTCCATTTCAGTCTGTCTGTCTCTTGGTCTCCGTTCTGGAGCTCTTCCACCCAGCAACAGCCGGGTCAGCAGCCGAGCCTTTTTCTCATTGGCTGCGGTGGCCCAACTCCTTCCCCCACCCCCCACCCCGGCCGGGACCGGGCTGAATCCGGCGCCTCTGCCCCGCAGTCTCCATTGCTGCCTGGCTGCGCTGGACACCTCCCTCCACTGAGATGGCCGCAGGAATGGGGGTCTGGGCCGGGCAGCTGTGGTTGCTGGCCATCTTGGGGGGCCACCTGGTGCCAGGTAAGAGCCCCCCCCGCCCCCCCCCCCGAGGTACCTGCAAAGTGCTGATGTGGGGGGAAACTTGGCAAGGGGGGAGGAATTAATAGGAAGGCAGATCGGAGGGGCTTGGGTTTCTGGGGGGGGGGGCTGAGAATCACGGTAAGCGAGAAGAGATTTGCAACCTGGAATGCTCTGCTGGGGGGCGGGGCGGGCGCGGGGACTTCCCCAGCCAAGAGGGTTCCCCGATCTTGCGCGTGTGACTGGTGGGGTGAGGAGCCCCGACAGTCTTTCTGGCTCCCGGTGAGCCCCTCTCTTTTCCCTTCCCTCCCTCCCGTGGGTGCAGCAGAGGAGGTGCTGTCGGGGGTGGAATTCGTCCAGCGGAGCCTGAGCTCGGAGGAGGGGCCCGGCGAGTACCTGTACGACTTCGACGGCGACGAGATCTTCCACGTGGACCTGCAGCGCAAGGAGGCCGTCTGGCGGCTGCCCCGGTTCGGGGAGCTCACCGGCTTCCAGGCCGAGGGCGTGCCGGGGGACCTGGCCATCCTCCGCTCCAACCTGGGCGTCCTTATGAGCCTCTCCAACAACACCCCGGCCCAGAACGGTACATCCTGTTATCCGCCTTGAGCCAGCGTGTCCAACAAGGAGGGTTACAAATAATAGTAATAATAATACCGCGGGATCCCTGGGGCTGAGAAAGGGCCCTTTATTTCCCGGTGCCAGGGAAACCCTGGCTCAGTCCAGTCTTAGATGCACCCCCAGCCCTGAAGCTTCTACTTCTGAGTAACCTGCCTCACATGGGGCACATTCCTGAGGCTAGGGTCCAAAGAGTTTATTTATTTGTTTACCAGATTTGTACCCTGCCTCTCTCCCCAAAGGCAGCCCAAAGTGGCTTGCATCTCTGCTCCTCCACTGTCTCCACGCAACAACCCTGCGAGGCGGGTCAGGCTGAGAGTGCCTCATTCAAAGTTATGCAGCAAGCTTCCCTGGCAGAGCGTGGATTCGAACCTGGGTCTCTCAGATCCCAGTCTGACACCTGAACCCCTACACCACACTGGCTTTCAACCATCAGGGTCAACTCACGGCTAAACATGGGAAGAGTCTCCTGCTGCCCAGTGATGGTGCGCTGCCCACTCCAGTCCCCTTCCCCCTTTCCCATCCTCCTGAGAGATCCTCCCCTCTTGGAACCTGCCTGGTGGGTCTCCAGAGCTGATCCTGTGCCAGGCGGGTCCAGACAGGGACCCCCTCCTCACACTGACATGGACCCCAAAGTCCAGGCAAGGAGTGGGGCATCTTCTCCTTTTAGGGAGTGAAGAGTCCATTCTGGGACCCATGAGGGAGCTGGGAAGGGTGACCTTGGCCTGGGACCCAGACCTGCGACAGAACCTCTCCTCTGTCTCCCTCCCTTCCCTTCTAGTGCCCCCCAAAGTGATGGTGTACCTGGAGAAGCCGGTGGAGCTGGGGGAGCCCAATGTGCTCATCTGCCTGGCAAACGAGTTCTCACCCCCAGAGATCAACCTGACCTGGGTGAAGAACGGGCAGGAGGTGCAGGCCACGGAGGAGACGGACTTCTACCCCAATGCGGACCACTCCTTCCACAAGTTCTCCTACCTGACCTTCGTCCCCAACGCCGAGGACATCTACTACTGTCGGGTGGAGCACCAGGGCCTGGCCCAGCCCCTCACCAGGGAGTGGAGTAAGGATCGGGGCCGGGGGTGGGAATCAGGGCCAGTGCGTACCTGAGGGGGAGGGTCCTCAGTAGTGGACCACGGCACCATGGTTGGTGACTCCCATGTGTGTCACAACTACCGTGGATATAGATCAAGATGCACAGTCGTGTTAGTCTCTCTGTAGCCGTAAAAAAGCACCTTAAAGGTATAAACTTTTGTGAGTCACTGCTCACTTCTTCAGATACAGCGTTCTAGCTGTATCAGAAGCAGTGAGCCGTGACTCGTGAAAGCTCCTCCCCTGCCACAAATTTTTGTTAGTCTTGAAGGTGCTCCTGGACTCTGGCTCTTTTCTACAACTGTCATGGATCGCAGGCCACGGAAGGACAGCCACATGAGCTGAGGGCACCTCAAGCACAAGACCTTCCAGGGGAGGCATTTCACACCTTCAGCTCACAGAGTCTCCTAGGGGTGAAATGTGCATGTGTGAATCAAAGCCCTTTTCCCCAGGCTGGGCAGGAGAGAACCCATTTCAGGATTCAGTAGTGATGGCCCAACAAACTCTTGGTTTTGCTTGCTTGCGAGGGGCCCGGAAGTTCCAGCTGGGCTTCAATTGTGATGGTGGTGGTGATGATGGTGATGATGCCTTGTGAGCTGCTGCTGCTGGTGGCATTAAAGGTTGTGAGCGAGCGATTTGCCTGCTGCATCAGTCAGTTTGCTCTGGAGCCATCCGTCCTGAACTAAGACAAAAATGTCTTAGTAATAGGTGGTGGTGGTCTCATTGTCATAATTTATAGCCCACCTTGTTCCCTGAGGCTCAAGGCAGATTACAACATAAGGAAAACAAGCCGATCAGACAGCCGAGTCCTCCCATAGGCAATGCTGGAGGACTGGGTCTATGGAACTGGGAGGAAACAACACAAATGAAAACTAGTCTAAGGAGGGACACATTGTCACACAGAAAGGGGGTTACAAAGGTAGAGGACAGCCAGATTTTAGTCCACCCTGTTGTTGGATTCTCTGGACTTGGTATTGCCAGGGAAGAACCACGGAAAAATAGCAGAGTGCTCAAGGGCTTTAAAGGAGCTGCGGTGGCTCAAGTGGTTAAGACGCTGAACTGCAGGCTGTGGAAGGTCGGTAGTTCAGCAGTTCGAGCCCCGAGTGTGCCGCATGACAGAATGAGCTCCCATCTCCAGTTCCAGCTCCTGCCAACCTAGCAGTTCGAAAGCAAGAAATTGCAAGTAGATAAATAGGTGCCACTTTGGTGGGAAGGGAACAGCGTTCCGTGTGCCTTGGTGTTTAGTCATGCCAGCCACATGACCACGGAAACGTCTTCGGACAGCGCTGGCTCTCCGGCTTTGAAACGGAGATGAGCACCGCAACCCTAGAGTCGGACTCGACTGGCTTTCAAGCAAGGGAACCTTTACCTTTTTTACAAGGGCTTTAACGCAGCAGAGCTTGTGGGGCTGGGTGTGGCAACAGACTTACAAAGTCACACAGCAGTCAGTTCTAAAACTAATTAAGCAACTTTTATTAAAGGAAATACATGCTGGAGAGTGCAGGTAAGAGACAGGGATAGATTACTTATTTCAGCTAACAAGATGGTGTTGGATGCTGGATGCAGGTCCAGCCTCCATGGCGCAAGATGGAGACCATGTGCCCTGTTTGTGTGTGTGTGCGTGGGAGAAGAGAGAGTTTGGGAGCGAAAGCAGAGGAAATTGCCCCTAAGAGTAGCATTCTGCTTCAAAGGAAAGGATCAGAGAGCAGGAAGGAAAGGATGCTCTGTGTGTCCTGACCCTTCAATCTGTCTAAACTCTTTGGTGCCATCTTCTCAAGTCTGAGACAGGAGACAGCGCCAAAGTCCTCCAATTCCAGCACCAATATTTTGGGGGGTCTGAGCTTTCAAAAGTCAAAGCTCCCTTCCTCTCTCACTGTGCCTCCATGCTAATGAGGGAGGGGCCGTGGCTGGCACGCAGAGGGTCCCAGGTTCAATCCCCAGCATCTCCAGGGGTCATGGATCAGGTAGGAGGTGATGTGGAAAAGCTTTTCCAGAGACCCTGGGGAGCCACTCCCTGTCCGACTGACCTTGATGGACCGAGAGGGTCTGATTTAGTTATCAGGCAGCTCCATGTCTTTATCCCCTTAAACTTCATCTCCTTTGAGCTGATCCTGCCTGAGCCCACTTCCCTGGCCCTCGCCCAGTGGGTGCTACTCATAGTTTTTGTGCATGAGAGAGTATTCTCTGTGTGTGTGTGCGTTGTAATGGTTGACTTCTGGCAACCCCTTGTGGCGCTTGGAGGTGGCTTGCTATTGCCTGCCCCTGTGTCCCAGCCCTGGCATTCCTTGGAGGTCTCCCATCCGAGTACTTGCCAGAGTTGACCCTGCTTAGCTTCTGAGATCTGACGGGATCGGGCTTGCCTGGGCTATCCAGGTCAGGGGATGCTACTCATACTTTACCCTGACAAACGATGCAGTGACACCCGGGCCAGGGCTCTTTTTGTAGAAAAAGCCCAGCAGGAACTCATTAGCATAATAGGCCACACCCAGCAGCAGAAATTCATTAGCATATTAGGCCACACCCATGACAGCAAAGCTCATTAGCACATTAGGCCGCACTCCCGTGTTACCAGAAGTGTGGTCATCCAGCCACACCCACCTTTTGCTTCTTATTCTGTTTACCTTGCTTGTTGTCAAAACCCAGGGCTTTTTTTGTAGCAGGAACTCCTTTGCATGTTAGGCCACACCCCCTAATGTAGCCAATCCTAATGCGTTTCTGCTGTTGGGTGTGGCCTATTATGCTAATGAGTTCCGGCTGGGTGTGGCCAGCTGGAACTCCGTTCCTGTGCGTTCCTGCCCAAAAATAGCCCTGCGACTCCCAAATATACATGAGAAACTGCACGAGGGATGGAATCAGCACGGAGAGGACCACTGCTCTTGACTGTCTCCGCCGGAGGGTTTTTGGGTCAAAGGGGGGAGCTGAACTCTTAGCGATGGCCCCCGGGGATGCGGAATCCAAGGGGCAGAGATCGTGGGGGAGGAGCCGGAGCCGATCCCCGCTTCTGCTTCCGCTAAGCCGTCTTCTTCCCTTAGATGCCGACACGGCCGAGCCCCTTCCAGAGACCGAGGCTAATGTGGTGTGCGGTCTGGGACTGGCCGTGGGCATCGTGGGCATAATCGTGGGCACCGTCTTCCTCATCAAGAACCGGCAGATGAACGAGGCCAACTTCCGCCGGAGGCCCAGGTGAGTCCCGCCTGCAGTTGCCTGTGAGCTTGGGGTGGAAGGCCCAGAGATGTGGGGGGCGGGGCGGCTCACGCTGCCAAATTTGGGGGAGACACCTTTCCCTGTGCCTGAGGGGTGCAAGAAATGGGGGAGGAGTGTGGATAGGAAAGGAGGAGTGGGAAAGAAGATCTCTGTGTCTGAGAGGGAAGAGCTTGCAAGGCCATACCTGAAGGGGGGAGGGGGGAGTCTGGCTCTGTGAGAGAATCCAGGGGACTCTTCTTTGGGCAGAGTCCTAATGTCTTTGGCCAGGCGCATTCTCACACCTGCCCTGTTCTCCTTCTCTTCCAGGTAATCGAGGGCAGATGTATCACTCCCTTCCTCTCCAGAACTGCGCCTGCCACTTCCACAACCCGCATTCTTTGCTCCTCCTTTCTTGGCAAAGCCTTTCCTCCTTGATCAACTCAGAGAACTGTGTGGGGGGTTTACTTTCCTGATCCCCAGCAGCCTTCCACGTGGCTCCTCCTGCCCAGTTTGGTGTAGTGGTTGTGTGCGCGGACTCTGGGGAGATTTATTTATGGTACTCAGTACCACGCTTCTATGACTTGGCAAGACTCTGCTATATTAACCGAATATCCCAATATAAGGACTCTCCCCCACCACCCTACATACCTACCCCCTCTGTCCACAGGCCAGTGATTCTGGGCCCCCATCATGAGTGGCGTTTGGGGTCCTAGAATCACCAAGACCGCCCTTGAGTGCAACTCTAAGCGTTTCAGACTCCATGAAAGCTAACGTAAGATTGCTGTTTAAAAGATCAACAACCTCAGATATGCATTTATTAATGTATTTTAATGTATTTATTGTCTTAGTGTTTTAAGTGTTGTTAGCCGCCCTGAGCCGGTCCTGTGGCTAGGCGTGTCTGAAAACTGACACCTCTTGCTCTGATTTATTGCGTCGAAATGTCTGTGCTGTTGCAGTCCTGAGTATGCTGTTCAGGCGTGTATCTGTAAGCTGCAGACCTACGATGACGCAGCAGCAGCAGAACTGGAAGAAGAAGCAGAAGACAGCCAGTTCCACTGCGGGCCTGATAGAAGCCCACCGGGGGCCTCGCCTGGCCCCCGGGCCACATGTTTGACACCCCTGCTCAATAAAACTCCGAGTGAAGGGCGGGCTATAAATCCAATCTCTTCTCTTCTTCTTCATATGGGGCCCACACTGCAATGGCCCTGCAGGTGGTCACCCAGGAAGGAGTGAGACTGTCCCCCCCCCAGCCATGCTCCCCCCAAAGACAGACTCCCAGGGGCCGCTGGCTCCAGCCCCCAGTCAGCCCACAAGAAACCCTGTTCTCTTGCCTGGCCATTCATGGCACCAGTAGTTTGTATTCCCGAAGCTTCAGGGTCTCTTCCCAAGGTCCTTGAAACCTTCCAGTGTGTGTGTGGGGGGGGGTGCAGTTGGGGATTTGCAGTGAGATGCTAGGTTAGGAGGTTAGGAGTTTGGGAATGCTCCTGGCTTTGGCTGCAACTTGAGTCCCGACCTGGGTAAACCGGGTTCCCTGATCTCACCAGATCTCAGAGCCTAATCATAGAATCATAGAATCATAGAGACCCTTCCTTGGCCGCGACGACCTGGCTACAGTGATCCATGTGACGGTCACCTTGAGGTTAGACTACTGTAACGCTCTCTACATGGGGCTGCCTTTGGCGAAGATCCGGAAGCTGCAGCGGGTGCAGAATGCGGCGGCCAGGCTGATGATGGGTCTCCCCAAGTGGGAGCACATCCAGCCTGGGCTGAAAGCGCTGCACTGGCTGCCAATAGCATACCGGATCCGTTTCAAAGTGCTGGTACTTACCTTTAAAGCCCTACATGGCCAGGGTCCGACTTACCTGAGGGAGCTCCTTTCCCCACATATACCCCCAAGAGCACTTCGGTCCGGGGCACAACATCGCCTGGTGGTTCCAGGCCCCCGGGAGGCAAGGCTCACTGCGACTAGGGCCAGGTCCTTTTTGGTGGTAGCCCCTATCTGGTGGAATGAGCTCCCGGAGGAGATCAGGGCCCTGCGGGACCTTATGCAGTTCCGCAGGGCCTGCATGACGGAGCTCTTCCGCCAGGCTTTTGCATAGGGGCCGCCACTACCACCACCACCACTGATGTGGATAACATCGGGGTTAAGGATGGCCCGGGAAGATCTGCCACAATTTTGCATGACTGATATCACCAGACTTACTTGCTTGGGATCAGCTATAAGACAACATCATCCCCAAAACTGTCTGTTTACCATCATTGCATATATTCGGGGACCATCCTGCTTTCAACTGAGTATCATTGTTGTTTGTGATTAATTGTTATTAATGCTGATATTGCTTTTATCCTGTTTTATATGGGCTTTGCCCCTTGTAAGCCACCCTGAGCCCGTCTTGCGGGGAGGGCGGGGTAAAAATCCCAATAAATGAATAAATAAATGAATGAATGCTGTCTGTCTCATCCCACTTTCTGCGTATTTGTCGAGCGGGCAGGGGTTCTCTCAGCCTACTTCTGGTTCCAAAGAATCTCTGAGAAGAGCCTTCTAGAACTGCTGATAGGCCAGTGTCGGCCATGTGATTTCTACCATGTCAGGGATCTGGAGAGAGCCTGCTGTGGTTCTGGGCATTATACTATTATGGTGTCTGCAATCTCACAGTGAGCAGTATGTTAGTGAGGAAGGAGAGCTGACTGGGCCTCCTTGGACTGCCTCCTCTCCTGTGAGTCAATGAGGTAAATCTTCTCTTGGCATGAGGGAAAGTGATGGTGGGAAGTCCATCTGCTCAGTTTCTCTGCTGTAAATGACACAGGATTGGGGCCAGTAGAAAACGAAGCACCCCTGGAGAGTTCTCAGAAAGTCCCTGTCAGTGAGGGATTGGACACGATCCACCCAGGTGTGGGCTGGCAGTAAAGCCATCAGGAGACTGTGCTTGGAAGATTCGGCGCTCACCGTGAACCTGGTATCCCCATCCCATTATAATGAGTTTGGTCCTGGGAAGGATCCCTTCAGCACTTCAGCAGTCCTCAGCGTAAAGCCAAAGCTTCCTCAAGAGCAAAACACCCCCCGCGGTCAGGCCAGGTTCTTCCGTGATCACTGCAGATTCGGGAAGGGGGGGATTGCTTGGGGCATGAATTTTGCTCTATTAATATGCTCTGGGTGAGGCCTCTCCATGGCGATAGCCCTCCCAAACATTTCTATATAATCACTTTTCTGAAAAGGAATAAATTGGACCTTTGTATTGTCAAGAGAGGAGCTGCGGTGGCTCAAGTGGTTAAGACGCTGAACTGCAGGCTGTGGAAGGTCGGTAGTTCAGCAGTTCGAGACCTGAGTGTGCCGCATGACGGAGTGAGCTCCCGTCTCTGGTTCCAGCTCCTGCCAACCTAGCAGTTAGAAAGCAAGAAATTGCAAGTAGATAAATAGGTACCACTTCAGTGGGAAGGTAACTGTGCACCTTGGTGTTTATTCATGCCAGCCACATGACCACGGAAACGACTTCGGACAGATCTGGCTCTTCAGGTTTGAAATGGAGATGAGCACCGCAACCCGAGAGTCGGACTCGACTGGCTTTCAAGCAAGGGAACCTTTACCTTTTTTATTGTCAAGAGGCTCCTGAGTCTTGTTGCTTTGTGTTACAGCCTGGATGCCTCCGAACCAAAAAACTGAGGAGAACCAAAAATATGCCGCCAGGCCTTTCCCAGGTAGCAAACACACCTTTGTGGCTGAGTAGAGTGCAGGAAACAATCCCGACTCTCTGAAGAGAGTACTTCTATGATGTTTATTTTGTACACTCGGGATGTCACTTAGGCCACGATACTCCAGTTCCCTTCAATTTTTGGCACAGCAAGTCCCACAATCGTCCTGGAATTGTTGGCCAATTTTGAAAGTCGTAGCTTTATTTTCGGATGAGTTATGCTTGCCACAAATACTCTTAGTATCTATTGCATATAGCCGGGGGGGGGGGGTTTCCTTCTGGAAATGACTGAAGCCAGGATGGGGTTTTTTTGTATCACAAGTCCCATAAGAATCCTAAAGCCGGTGATTAGTTTTGAAATGCCCGGAATTCTCTTCTTTTTAAGATTTATCACCGTTTATTGATATTTCAAAAATAATACAGAAATACAGAATTACAAGAAGAAATTACAAAGTTTTGCAAACTAGAGTCAGAATATGTTTCAATATGGCCCCGGTCACACAAGCGAGATAATCTTGGGGGGGTGAGGTGAGGCTTTTTGCTCCTGAGCAAAATGAAGCACGGTATGTTGATCAGATCAGACATGTCCCTTGAGGTTCCGCACACATGCCGTCAGCCGCGATCACACGTTGGTGGGGAAGCGTCGCAAAGAAGGGCGAGGCAGTTCAGCAGTACGCGTTTGTGCGCATGAGCAGTTCGGCGTTTGCGCGCATACCATGGAGGCTTACGAGAAACATCTGGTGGGACGCGGATGGGTGCCAGATGCGACGGGATACTAGCGCTTCCACGATCTGATGCCCGCTCGTGCTGCACGTTTTCCAGAAAATAGTGCACTGACGCTTGCCAGATTTTGCCGTATGATCGCGCCCTTTTAATCCGCCTGGCAGTCGTGCCTTTCACGCAGCAAATTCTCCATGGGACCGGGACCTGTATTACTCATTTAGTAACGGGAGGGTAACAATAAAACAGTCCTAATATTGTGACAGTATCAGCAGTGCTCATAAGAAGTGAACAGTGTTTAATAAAAGTTGTGTACTCTTTAAACCTAGCAGTTCGAAAGCAAGAAATTGCAAGTAGATAAATGGGTACCGCTTTGGTGGGAAGGAAACAGCGTTCCATACACCTTGGTGTTTAGTCATGCTGGCCACATGACCACGGAAACGTCTTCGGACAGCTCTGGCTCTTCGGCTTGGAAATGGAGATGAGCACCACAACCCTAGAGTCGGATTCGACTGGCTTTCGAGCAAGGGAACCTTTACCTTTACTCTTTAAAGAGGTTTCTAAAACCATACAAAACACGAACTTTTCAGCCACATGAAGAACATACATCTCTTTCTTGGGCAAGAGCCTGGTTTGTCAGACTCAAAAATGACCACTAAATCTTAGTCTTTAAGGTGTTAGAAGACTAATTTCCCCCCCACAGCTGATTAATATAGCTAGTCCGTCAGACTTCCTCCACACAGAATAAAACTAACAGCAGAATATGGTATTTTATTTTATATTCATAAAGGATCAGGTAAACATCAATGATGTTGTTAGTGCAACACAACCAGTTTTGCAATGCCTGGCATTGTTTTCTAATGAGTGATACCTGTCACAAAGAGACAAACTTGGCTCCCCTTGCAAACACCCTGGGGTGCAGGAGGGTCCAGATCGAAGGCGGGCCAGGATGCTCCGGTTTCCTTCATTTTGCGGGGACTGAAACTTGCCATGAGCATGTCGAACTTGCTACGCAATTTTTCAAGCACCTAGTTTAATGTTCCGATGAGCTATGCCTGCAACAAAGAGACGGCGAGAGCCCAAGCCAGCCTGATCTTGTCAGCTCTCAGAAGTTAAGCAGGGTC